AAAAAAAAAAAAAAAAAAGTATTTTTATCTATATTGATCAGTTTTAATCAGCATTACAAAGGTACGTTTAATATACTACATATATTATATATGAATAAGCACATTCCCCTTCCCAGATGCACCTGATGGAATGCCCTGGGCGTCTGTGGCAGGCTCAGAGGTAGGCTTTCCACAGCTCGGTGCTGACCCCTACTGCCAGCAGCGTTGTATCACCCCGCAGCAAACCCTGATGGAAAGATGCGAGCCACCCTGCCTGGTTTTGACACGCAAGTTGTGCCGCCAAACTACACAAATGTGCAAAGCTGAACCCCGATTCACTGATTTCATACATACAGAACCCTGAAACTGGCCCATCTTCTCTACCAGCCAGTGTGCCTACTCTCCCTTCCCCAGGCAGTTTGCAGAGCGGTGGCACCTCCTGGGCAGCTCAGCTGTGTGGAACACTGCTGTTAACACAGTGACCGTCACAATGCCTAATTCCCAAGGCAAATCAAAACCCACTGATTGCCAAGGCATTTACCAGATGCTTGCCAATTTGAAGAAAACTTTACTGGTTCTCAGAGGGTGCCAGCTCCATGCCAAGTTGCCTCTGCTCCCCTCCTTTCCCCCCACTGCTTCTTGTAACAGCTGCACAATAAGTGATTACAGGAATTTTATTCCAGTAGAATATTTTTCCACAGTTCAGATAGCCTCAATTGTTTTCAGATTTATTTTGTTTTAAACCTCATGTCAGGCAATACTCATACCTGAGGAATTCTTACAGAAAACATTAAAAGTTCAGCAAACTTAAAAGTGATGAAAGGAATTAGAAGTCTTCTCAACTTCAGCTGAGAAGCTCAAGATCAGGCTTCCCAGAATATGAACAAGAAATACGTTGGCTTTTTAAACCTAGTCCCTTTAAAATAACTTCAAAGATCTTCCACAAAATCCTTATTTTCCCTTTTGATAGATATATGCAGCACAAGCCATGAAAGGTACAATCTGTCTGCCATTGTTATTACGTACTTCATGTGGTGGTTTTGCTACCTATAGAGAAGTCCTGTGACTTCTAAAAAGGCTTTTTCAGAAGTCTTAACAAACCTCAGTATTTATTTAGATGTAATGCTATCACAGAAGCCTTTATCAAAAGGTAACAAATAGTATTGTTCTGCTTGGTACTTTAAAAGAGCTAAAATTCACATTTTACTTCCTTACAACATGACAGAAAATGAAATCTGTCATTGCAGCTTCCAGTGTTTAACATTGCTTGGTTTTAGTTTCATGTTGAACACTGTCAGATCCAGCACTCAAGGAAACATTAGAAATACAATTTCTTCTTGTTTCTTTTTATTAAATATTAATTCGTCTTGAAGGGGAGATGTTTTCTTGCTCAACCTGACTTGCTACATTTTCCACAGAACTCTTGTTATTCTCTCAGAGTAAACAGTCATAAACACTATGCTCGAGTGCATACAAAATCCTTTGCAAAAGGAAGTCTGGTGGCAGAAGGAGCAGAAAAGAACAGAGTCAGGGAAAGTGTCACTTTAGTCAAAGCATTTCAACTTAAAAACATCTATTCAATATTACTGGATTGGTTTAGCGAGCCAAAAGAAGCTGGGGTGACTAGAAGTTTAAATCTGTTAGCACATTTTGACTAGATGGTATATTTGAAAAATAAAGTCAAGAGGGGAGAAGTAGATTTGAAATTCTTCTAAACAGAGATGGAGAATATACAAAGATATGTAAAGTCTGACAATACTATAGGAAATAACAAAAAAAAAAATCAAAAAGTGCAAAACAGAACAAAATATCAGTGCATGAAGAGTCAGCCAAAAGATGCTAGAAGAAAAAAAGTTGGATGGCAAGCCCTTTTTGCCATAATTTTTTCTGTTGGTAGTATTCTGGAATTGGATCCCACAGATTCAGGCTTCCTCCCACCCAAAAATCTTGGAGATCAAATACAGTCCACAACAGTATAAGCCTCACTGATTAAAAAAAATTAATGTCACCAGTGTTTTTCACTAACACAGCTTTCAGAGTCCCTCCTAATAATCAGCTGTACACATTCCTTTACCAGAAAGCACTGGCAGGATTTAAAATAACCCGTATTGCCTCTCAGTGGTGCACTTATGTTTTACAGAAGGCTGAAGTCAAGCCCTGGCCTAAATTCTAACGTGCCCATAAAACAGTTGAGGAATAAATTTCCAGAACCAAGTGTCCTTTCTGTAGATTAAGTCCCATTTTCAGTAAAACAGAGTGAAGGCATAAAAAAGTAAAATGATTTCAAAAGGCAGGTATGTAAACCTCAACAAAATTTAGATCTCTGGAAATAAAAAACTGCACAAAACAAAGTAAGTGTATGCATTTCCATTAAATGGTTTCCAAGCATCTTCCTCCAACTTAGGGATCTGTGGGTAGATTTAGTCTGTCATTCTTGAAACTGTCAAGATACTTAACTATGCAAAAACTAAGGGCTTTATCTCATCTTTAATTCCATCTATAATTTTACATTATTTTTTCTTTCCTTTCCTTCTAAGTTCTGGCTTAAAACTGAGGCACTCTTTTAAAATTTAATCACACCATGAAAGTATCATTTTAATGGAGATGAAAGAGCAATATTAACTGACATCCAAAGCTTCTGACAAACAGAACTGCGTGTGAGCAAGTAATGATTGAGATTTTAATCACCTGTCGCTGTCGCATCGTGATGACTTGCATTTTCAACAGTTCTGGCTTGAGTAATGAGTGAAATTTCTAGCTGAGTGGTGATTGGCATTCTCTGAATGAATCCTTTCCTCATATTTCATTTTCATGGGCGACTGATCATATCCACTATATGAAAAACTGACACATATTAATTGAACAGATTTGTGACAGGTGATTAGCTCTCCTCTCCTCAAGAGTCCTGGAGATGTTTAATTGTTTAAAAATGATTAGACTTTTTGGGGGGCATCACCATTGGCCCTCGACTCTAAGATTTGAACTTCAGGAAATGGCTTCAAAGGTGCAAACTAAAGCTACATTAACCCCGTAGTCTTTCATTCCTGACAGTTTCTCTTTGTTTCACTGCCTTTTGGGGAGGAAGGAAGAGGTGAAGAGCAAAACAACCACCCAACTGGAAAGAAGAGAGTATCTCTAAGGAAAAGGACCTCTTCCTTCTTCAATTATTCTTTTAAGGCAGTCTTCAAACCTTCCAAACTACATATTGAAAGATGAAGGACACTAGATATTTTGGGGAAAAAAAACCCCAAGGGATTAATGGGAAAACTCTATGAAGTGATTTGAAATCAGCTCAGCTGTATGTGCTGAAAGCTGAACTCCTCAGTCTACTGTAAAAGAGCCATCCCATTATGGTACTGAGAGGCAAAACCACAGAGAACACAAGTTCCACAGGAACTTGCTTCCCTGCCCCAGAAAAGAGTATAGCACACCTCAGCATCCCCTGAAACCATGCTCTAGTCTAGGACCTTGGAGGTAGCCTGCAAGGACAGAGGCTTCCAGAAGCTTGGCTTGAGCTGGGACTGCAACAGCTGGAAGAAGAACCAACTCCCATTGGGATGACCAACACAAGACTTGGAGCTTAGAGCCTGTGCTAGAGACAGACCCAGCAGCAGAAGCTGTAGGAGTGGACACAGAATCCTCCCTAACCTAAATAGAAGGTCAAGCACTACAGCTCCCAGGAGTGTATTTCATGGCAGGGGCATATTAGAGCTCCTAGGAACAGAAATATTGATAACTTTTTTTGTTTTCTGGGAATTTAAAAGTTTAGATACTACCTACAAAATAGAATTAAAAAGTTTTGGCCAACTCCACTCTCTCTTCTATGCCAGGAAGCCCACCGTTACCTTCAGCTGGGGGACAAATAATACTTTATCCACAATTTTTCCTGTGAGAAAAGTAGTAGCAGCTGCCAATCAGATGCTTGTCAGTAGGAACAGACAACAAGGGACTTTTGGCTGTTCAGATCATCTCCCATTGTTCTTGTTCCTCTATGCTAACTGCTGTCTGTCCCACTCTCCTGCTTTGCCTTTAGTTTCATGCCAGATATATTTTCTCTTCTGCTTTGCCTCCTCCACTTCTCTCTCATAAGAGCTTTCTTTTCAAGATCACTTTCCATTTAGGTTATCCCTTCTTGATTCTTGACTTTTTTTTTTTTTTTTTACGTACTATCATAGCAATAAATACCTTCCTCTGTCTCAATATTAGCAGCTCCACAAGATTGCATGAGGACTACATCAGTCACCACTGGCTACAGCAGCACCTCTTACTCAGACTGCAACTTTTTCCCATACAAACAGAAGTTTCTATTTAGTTGTCAGATCAACACAGAGAAGCAACAGCTGTAAGGACAAGTCTGGCGGAGTTTTAAGGAACTAATGGCACTGGGGCTGAATAGTTTATTTCATTATAAATTGATGACTGTGATAGCTAGCAAATATCCTGGAAAATTTTCCATGTTCTTCAGAACATGGGATTTAGTGAATTTGACAAATCTGTGCAATAACTCTGTCAGTTCCCTTGCTAAATAGTTACCCTCTCCCTGATGAAGATCTCAGATTCAAACTTTAGTGATCAACTTTGATGTGTCTAAGCCAAGGGGCAAAAAAGCAAAAAAGCCAATAGACATGATTTTTCTTAACAATCCTCAGTGTGGTACACACAAGCTCCACTAGAAAATATATGTTAGAAATAATACAGTTAATGGCAAACAACTAAATAATTCATGCAACAGTGTAGGAATAATGTGCAGGAAGAAAAGAGGATTAATTAATTATATCATTAAGCTTGTAGTGGAAGATTATTTCTTTTATCAGACACAAACATTTGCAGATATACAGGCAAGTTTTTGACACTCCATGCTGGATAAATTTTGCTTTGCTTACATCCAGAGACTAAAATACTAAAAATATTTTAGACTACAGAAAATGAGAAATTATTTAATCTTGCAGTCATGCATCTGCTAAGGACTCACCTAGTTCCATATCTCTTATCCCCATGTATGTTTCAAGAAGCTCATCCACTTTTTTAATTGCTTTTTCTTCAACTTCACTCGGCTTTGTTGAAATAGAGAAAAAGAGCAAAACTATGATTATGCCCACACAGATTTCAAAATAACCAACAGTTCACCACTGATTATCCTTGCTCCCATCCTAGCCACTTAGACTTAAAAGAAACTAGAAGTAAAACACATGTTGTTCCATTCTCTGTCACTTTTCTCACAAACCTGAGCTTTCCTCCTATCATCAAGCCATACAGCTCTCACAATCAAACTAAACAGGAAACTTAACATCTCCATACAATACAGATCTTCATCAAATCCTCATGAGCTTTAGAGGAACCCAGAATAAGTAACACTTTGTTCTTCCAAACCCTAATTCTGGTTTTACACATTCATGTCAACACAGGTTACTAGCCTCTCCTAACAACAACACATATACCAGCCCAGAACACTTCACAGTGTCAGAAACAGAACCAGCTCTTCAACTGTCACCCCCTACCTTTTTCCCCCACTGTCTTCTTTTCAACAGTCCTTAGTTCTACCTTGAATTGTAATCCATGACATCTAAATATAGGTTCTCTGTTTCCAGATTTCTCAGCCCCATCCTATCCCTGCTAGTCTTCAACTTTATGTATCTCTCCCTGCAGAAGGCAGTCTTCTTAAGTCCCACAAGCTTTTCGTCATCCACATTTTTCCTTCCTACTCTACCTTGTCAGCCTTAAGGAAAAATAAATCACATGCACAATGATTAAACTATCGACAGGCCTCAAGACAACCATACCATTTCCTCCACAGTAGCAGGGCCTTTGGTTCTCAGCCGAAGCGTTTCTCTCCCTCTAGAGATTTTAGCCCCTGGCAGAGTTCCACCTTTGGACCTTGGTTCCAGCTTTTCTAGAGACAAAACAAACAACAACAACAACAAAAGAAAAGAACACCAAACAAAACTAAGTATATGGTACATCAGAATATGATATATCTGCTTTGGCTATTACACTACCTTCAATTTTTATTCTAATCAAGACCTAGATATATGTAGAAATTTAACTATAAATTAACTGTATTCTACATTAACTGCTGACAATATCTTTTCTTCAAACTTTGATAGCCACTTGACTGCACTGAAGCCAGGACTTGCATTGACCAATTTATCTATGCACACTTATTACACTCAGCTCCATATACACATTTTGTACAATTTTATTTCCCTGTTCTACAGAAAAGGAGAAGTATTTATTACTTAATATTAGATAATGGTTGAAGTAATCTGTCAAATGCTGATTTATCCTGGTCTTTGCAGGCAGACTATATAGCAGGTTTAGCACTGCAACATTTCCACCTTTCACTGATGGGATGGTGCAAACACTACTGTTAAACAGTTTGATCACTAGCAGGGGAAATATCTGTAAGTAGATCTGCAGGAGTTTTTCCATTTTATTCAGACAGGTCACAATTTCACATCTGATAAATCTCTATCAAGAATATCTGGGTTTACCCAAAATTTACTTTACCTGAGTTCAGCTTTCCTTATTTGATCTTGGGTAAGGCCACTCCAGTTAGTAAATGGAGTATGGAATCATTTAAGATTTGGCTTTCTTATTTTAGGACATAATTTTACATTCAGGCGTGGCAAGGCTTTAATTAACTAAGTTACTGCCACGTCAGTAAGTAAATATGGAAACTGCTAGAAGAGAGGAGATGATTTTGCAGAACTGTTTTTAACTGTGCTGTTTTCTCTACCAAATTATTCCTCCTCTTAAAGCCTTTCTAATAAGCTGACCTTGAATGCAAGACTTTAACATGCTATATTAATTTTGTCCAGGTAAATTCTAACTCATCATTCTTGTATAAATTATCAAAAATCCAGATTGTTCTGCTGAACAAGTCTTGAAAAGTAAATTTTAATTGCTTTTCTTAAAACAAATAGACATGGTACAGTCTCTTACACATATACTTAGGCCCTTCTCCTCAATCCTTCTATTGCTTCAGTGACAGTTTAAAACATCCTCAAGATTGTCAACATTTCTGCTGGACTTGTTTCCAAAAGTAATTCCTGATACGTGATACATTTTTTTTCTATTTCTGTCACTATTAACACCTTAAAACTCATTATTTGACATAACCTTTATTTGCAATACATCAGACCAAAGCTCTCTGGCTACAGCAGAAACTCTTTTTCAGATTCACATAATTTAAATTTACAGCTTGTGTTATGCTACCTTTACTTTCTTTCTGTTATCTATTCTCACTAACTCATAGAGGGTCAGGTTGTGACTGGTAAGGACCCATCTTATTCAGACAAGTCTTTAATCCTGTGGTGCAAGCCTTGCCTAGAGCAGCTGAGGCAGCCTATGTCCATGTGGTAGAAAGACACCCAATCAGTAAATTATATGTATTTCACATTCTGCTGAGAGGAAGAAAAATAAAAGTAATTTCACACAGAGGCTTGTCTCTTATTTCTACACCCTCACAAACCTGTGTTGAAACTAACAGGAATTCAGCACCTACTTGTCCAGCATGATCTGGGTCTTGTTTGTCATATCCTCTAGGGCTATTCTCAGAATGCTGCAGCTTAAACAACCCCTTGAATAAATTTGTGCCTGAAGCCTAACTGCACCTAAGGCTAGAAGTGGGATATTCTAAAGTACTGGGCACTGCAACTTGTAAATTAGTTTCTATAGGGTAAAAAATAATGTGCATCCTCCAAAAATATATCCGAAAGGCTCTGACTGCCTCTTAATTCAATATCAGATAAAAGGTATTGCCATGGAATTATCAGGTTTACTTCTCTACATCACAGGCATACTAAATCTATCTTAAGCACCTGACTAAAGTAATTACTATTAAATGATGGCTGAAGTCATCAAACAGTGATTTATACTGGTCTTTACAGACTATGTAACACTTAGCATTGAATCAAATTATAGACCCATATTAAAAGGGTATTCCTATATTACTAACTGTAATACTTTATGTAATACTGCTTTAGTGTAAAGTATAATGTATACATTTACTTAACAGGACTATCAACATATCCAAACACATTAAAGATTAACTCAAAACTCCCATTCTTCACAGAAGCACCAAAAACAAAAAGAAATCTTCTAATTTCTCTGATTTTCAATTTCTGCTGCTATTCTGACACCAAGTGTCAAGATCGGTGTATGACAGCAGTTGTGGTAAACTACTAACAGGTAAAAAAAGATTTGACTAATACATTCAACAATTGAATAAAACATTTCAGACTTCTGCTGCTACAGTGAAGATGATGGGTTTGAACTTGCTGTTAGTGTAGGTGTGCACAAGGACTCATGCGCACTTATAATTTAGTAGTATTTTGAAGTTTTTATTACAGAAAAGTGCCACATAGGTTGGTGGCGATATAAAAATATTAGGAGAATAAAAATAAAAGCTCAGTCTCTATTTTGACTCCCTGGGCAAAACATATTTCTTTTTTTGTTTACTGCATTGATAAAGCTAATATACATAAAGATCAGCAATAGGTATGCATTCCTCCTACATGAGTGTCACTTTCTCATAGCCTGCAAGTAGTAGGTAGAGACAGAGCTTTGCCACACTGCTTTCTTCCAGTTCCAAAAAAGTCTGAGGAAAGGGAGAGCAGGAAGGCATGCAATAAAGGAGGTGCTCGAGGGAATTTCAAACAGTGCATCAAACTGCAGCATCCTTCTGCGTTAAAGAGCACAGTCTCCAGTGAAGGGTAAAGAAGTAGAAAAATCTGACACAAAGATAAATAGAGATTCTGTATCAATAGACGAGATGAGGAGGTTCAAGGATCAACATATTAGTGAATTGAAACCATGCCTTAAAACTGTATCTAGGAAGCAATTCCTGTACTTATTTTGCATCACCATGTAGTGGCAAAGGAATTATTGATTCCCAGGATGATGGTGGGAGAAAGCAAGATGGAAAAATATCAATTCATAAATTTCCCATTTCAAAATTAGAAAAAAAAATAATCAAAGGTACTTTCTTGTAGCAGTTGTTACCTTGGGTGGACACCTGGCTGAAATCTGAAAACTTACAGTGCTGTGTTGGGTATCAATACCCAGTGAACAAGGTGGACAGTCAGGTCACTCACCAAATGCTTTCATAGGCTCTATCAGCTGCAGCTTAAACATCCGACCTTTCTCCAGATCTTTTAGCATTTTGGCCACTTCATAATGCCGACAACCTGACACATTTTTTCCATTTATTGTCTCTATGTGATCACCCACACAGATGATTTTGGTTTGGTCCATAAGGCTACCTTCTTTGATTCGCTATTGGTTTAAAAAAAAAAAAAAAATTAGTTAAAAGATAAAGATGTGACACCACAGTTTCAAGAATGTCAATTAACAACATCAATACCATTGAGCTTACTGTATCAGCAGTGCATTTTCTCTATAAGACTTTCATAAAACAAATGTTTTGGAAAGCATTACTTCTCAAAGTATTTTAATAAGCACTGAATATAAAATCAACAAGGGGAAAAAACAGAATGTCATCATCACATCAAATCATAACAACCATCACATCAAACTCTAGAAATTAAGGCTCCTGAATGATAATATTTTTGTGCTTTAGAACTGAACCCAAATGTGTCAGAAATATGAATGTTTAATTGAGTTTTGGGTTTTATTTTGCTTTAATAGCTTGGCAAGCATAGGAACAGAACTTTTATCTTCTAAAATATGATCCAAGGCCATAAAAATGTGTGATACAAAAATATGACATGCTATAAAGGGCTACTCTTAATAAGACCCCTCTATGGTGATAAAATTTTTTCCATTTTCCTCATCATGTTATATAGCTACATATTAAAGCATTTCCTCAGAAATAACAATAAAAATAAATTCTTCTAAATGTCATCTCATGGAATACAAATACAAATGGTTTAAAAGTTGTAAAATGTAACAGAAGTTAGTATGCATAGCTTTTCTGAAGTGGCATTTAAAAAGCGAGGACAAAAAATCTTTACAAGATCTCTAAGATTTATCAAGTCAATTAAAGAACACTTCAGTGATTGCTGTTATATGCTGTCGTATTTGTTCATCATGTGCCTAAGTCATGTAAGATGTTATCCTATGACTATTTAATAGAAAAGTATGACATATCTGACATAAATGACATACATATATGACAAAAGTATGACTATATATGACATAGTACAATATCCTGTATTTGTGTAGAGATTAATTTCATTCTAATATCTTCCTGAATAACATACTTTCAATAAAGAATGATGTTGTTCAGGCTAACTTTGAGTGAGACAACAGTGAGACAAGAGAGATAAACATATCACCACCTACTATAACACCTAGCCTAGATGCATAACTATCTCAGAAACGTGCTTCTGGCTTAGGTGCGCATGTCTGAGCCCACATATGTGCCTCCATCTGAGAGAGTCAGTAGGAAGTGTGATAGTGCTTAGTGTCTTATAACATCCTGCAACAATTTTTAGCTTCAGATTAGGTTTAACTCTTTCTAGCACTTGTTTCTTTAAATTATATTAAAACTAAAAAGAAGCTTGACGGTGAATGAAGAGGGCGGTAACAGTACACATTCCAGACACCAGGTCCCAGTGCTTTTCTGTTACCAGATGCCAGCATCCAGAAGCATGCTCACCTGTCCTGGTTTCAGCTGGGATACTGTGAATCTTCTTCCTAGCAGCTGTGTATGAGCCAGCGCTGAGTCACGCTTAGTCGCTGGTTGAGTTTACACCACACCACCAGAATTAATGCTTAGTCTGCCTGTTGAACTAATTTTCATTTAGCTTTTCTTCTTCAATTGGATCCTAATGCCAGAACTGTCTAAGGTAATATTCACTGGCAATGTTATTTGTGTCATATTAAACAGGTTTTTTTTCATATGACAGTGTTTATCAACACTCCAAGTTAACAGACTAGAGACAGTCAAGCCACATTGTCACAGTAATTGAAATGCAATTGATATGTCTATATTTCAAGTGCTCTACAGTCCATTTAGAAGCTAGGATCTCTATTTCCTATGCAATACCTGAAATCAACTGCATCACCCCATTTAATAATGTCGCCTTATACACCAGTCAGTCATGCTTCAAGTTCTACTGTCATTCCCTGAATGGCTAATTTGATTCCATAATACAGCTTTCTATCTCGCCACATACCAAGAAAACAAATTTGTGAAAGTAGAATAACCATAAGTTTTGTTCTTAGTAAGGCAAAACAACTTTAGATTTTATAGGAAAAGAATCTGCTGTTAAAAGTGTTAGGTTTAAAAACTGGTCAATCTATACATAAAATCTAGAAACTGCCCTGTTATTCAAAATGCAACATTATTATTACAGCCCATAACAGCTTTCAACAACCCACAGATAGGTAAATTTTATATTAATTGTTAATTAATAACAGAACATAGTGACAGTTTTTCAAGGAAAAATAAAATACATAAATACATAAACAAAAAGAATTCTATCAACCTTCCAAGTAGAGACTGTATTTGCTTAGTCACTTACCTAGACAACCCAATATGAAACAGATGCAGCTTTTACTTTTGCTTATGTATTTTCTATGCTGTTTTTTTTTTTTTTAGCTAAACATGCAACAGCAAAGTAAGCTCCTAGAAACTTCTTTAAACTGACACATTTCGATGAAGACTGCAACATTTTCATTATACTGTTTATTATTAGACCAGTAAAAGGACAATGATATATTTGTTCAGACAAGCTTTACACTGTTTAGCAGGACGAGCTGTGATTTCTAGTCATGTGATGAGGGCTTTCTAGTCTGCTCTAATTGTGCAGTAGTCTGTGATGGCTGTTCTCTCACTCCATATTACCAACCAAGCACAGAAAGAATAACACTCTCCGCAGTGCTGCACATGTGAACTTTAATCACTGAAGCACTGCTTTCAATGCCTTCTTTTAAAATGCCACATAAGCATCAGTGTGACTGAATGTTACATGCTGCATGGATGCTACGACCAGAAATTCAGAGTTCTATGTTTAAATGTAAAAATGAGACTATGATTTTGCCAAAATTCTTACTGAAAACTCCCTTCCATCTCAGCTTTCTCAAGTGAGACCTCAATCACATTTGTCCACAACAAAGAGAAGAAAGCCAATTTCTAAACTGTGTCTTCTTTTATACCCATGGTAGCTAAGGAATGAATAGAGAATACCACCTCTCCATACAAGAAGCTCTGTTTACAATAGCAACGAGAACAGTGGCTGGGACAGCAGTAATTGAGGGCAATTGCCAATGCCTCACTAATAATAGATAACAGGAGGAGATTAGAGCAAAGCATCTAAAAAAGGCAGAAAATGTGATTAAGCTTCCTAATACCTAGTCTAGCAATAAGGGTAGCATCATTTCCTCAGCCTCTACTTGCCTCAGAACACATTACCTGGAGATCACAGAGAAGATAAGGAAGAAATCAATTATGATTAATATATTGTTATTGCCCATAGTTTCTACTCAAGTTATTTGTGGCAGATTGTGTTAATCCACATCCTTAGCACCTTTCAATTCACCCTACCTAAGGCAACAGTATTGAAAAGCTGAAAAGGCACTATACTTGCACCTGTTCTTACACACCAAAAAGCCTTCTGCCCTGTGAACAGTCATAAAGACTGAAAGAACATGATCTCATTATCACATGAATGACAGGAGTTCTACAAGCACTTAATCAATGACATCAGAAAATCACTTAAAAAAAGGAGGGGGCAGACACAAGCAGTGTCTAACACCTACCACCTCAGGGTAGGTTGGAAAATACAATGGCCACATTGTAAAGCTGATACACATTACAGAAGCAATGAACAAATGGACTAATTTTGAGTGACATGCAGTACAGAAATAGCTAACTAATTTTGAATGATGTACCTAAAGAAAAGCAACTTTTCTTTACTTACTATATATACGATAATAAAAGATTTTATAGTTCTAAAAGATCATTAAACCAGTAATTAACCTGTTATAGTAACAGAAACTTCTACAGAATGAAGTATTTGACTGGTAACTAAATTTACCTTTATAAATGCACAGCCAGTTCCATTGTCTGTAATGGTAAGCCCAAGCACATCATCAGTTTTAAGAATTTCCACCTCTTTTCGCTGTCCTTTAACATGGGCAAATATGAAATCTTCAAGGCCAATCTGTGCACCTAGGAGCTTGTCCATATCAATTTTATGAGTGTTCAAAGTGCAAAACATAATCTGTGCAGGAGAAAAGCAAAACACATTATGTTTAACAGTATGAGCTTGGTGAGCTTGAGACAAAGATAAAAGGAGAGGATAAATGCTGGCCTCTCTGACAGATCCGTAACTCAAATTATGATAACACTCCTCCACCATCTGCCCCAGGAGAGATGATCCATCCACACATGACAGGAAGCATCAATACCTCAAACTCCACAGGTTAAGAGCTGGCAGGGAGAAAAGGAAAAAGACGTATCTGTGTGAGCAGCCTCTCATGTCCTGTTTTAGCACACCAACTCTGACACAGGTATCTTGAGCTAGAGCAGAGCAGCTTGTTCCAGAGGTTAGAGTGAGCAAACCGAAGAGCCACCACCATCTTTTTCTTCATCCTTCACCCACCTCAAATTCCACAGCAGGGACTGCTTTAAAACATAATGCTAGAAACCAGTTTCATGGAAAAAAAGAGAGTTTATCAAAATAAAAGGGCTGTGAGGAAGCATGGAATGTTTTATATTGCTTCATGTGTTCCCCCAATAGCTCAGAGCACATTGTCTTCAATGGGTTTGCTTAGTTTCCTGTCCTTCCTCCAGCATCAGTGGGAGTCATCTCTGTTCCAGCTTAGTAAAAGCAAGACTTAAGAAATAGAGCTAACTGGTTCTTTATAAATTGGCCCTTCTCAGGGATTTTCCTTCAGCACTGGGTGTTAGGCACACCTTTTTCTCCCTACTTTTACTCTAGCAGTTCCTTAACAGGGACATTTATTGTCCTGGGCATAGGCCAGATGAGACTAACCCAAACTGCACCACTCTGGGACAGAGATGATGCTTTTGCCCCACCACGGTGCTGCATAGAGGAATTTGGCCAGTCTGGGCAGGCTTTAAGTAGAAAATTAAATTTTATTTTATAAATAATGTCTAATCATCAGCACTTTTTTTTTTTCAAACTAAGAAGATTAAATTCAAAGAGACTATATAAAGTCCAAGTACACATTTTCAGTTCTCTCTCAAGCTACATAAATAACTTGTCCAGTTTACAACTGCAGCTTGGTTCTTGTTCTTAGAATGACTAACAAGCACTGTATCTTTACATTTTAGACATTAGCATCCTTCATCTGACCTTGTCAAACAGACAATCATCTAGTAACCACTGTCACACCTTTGACTAGATAAAATTGGCAACGGAGCAGAAATGTGATATTTAGAAACTCGATCCAGAGTTTCTCTTTTTAGACCTTCATCTGGATGGCATGCCTGCTACAGGCTGTAAGTCTGCAGAATTTTCTGTGAGTCAGTTCTGTGCTAACCACAAGGCTTAAAGAGCATCAGGCAGTCAAAAATAAAACTTAAATCATTCTTTATCCTCTTTAGTGAACAACTGCTTTTTCTTAGAACAGATATGTGCAACAAGTAATGTACTAAAGATGTATCTACCCAGGATAACATACAGTTACACCATTTATCAGTCACAGCATAACTTTATTTGTACATGAGAGACCTGTTGGCTCAATAATGGCATTTTTTCATAGAATTTACAAGTTTAATATAAGTATCTAATAACAGCCTGTATATTTAAAAACCAGCTACTATAGCACATCTCCGTTCCCTCAAAGCTTGGTATATTTTTAATAATAATTTTCTTACCAAGAAAAGAAGCAAGAAAAAAAAATCAAGATGCGGTTTTAAGTCCTTCCCTCTCTTCTCACCCTAAAACTTCATATGCATTTGATCTTTAACTCCGCATACCACAGCTCTGACATTTCATGCCAACTTTAGCAAGATATTATAAATCATAACTGTTCTATTAGTCACAAAGTATGTAGGATACCTCCTGTACTGAGAGAGTTGTCTTTGTGGCACACAGGGAAATTTCATTGGCTGGCAGGGACTGGAGGCTTATGCACAATCTTATAAAATAGATTTGTCAGATAAAATTACTAACAAATTATTCCCTGCCTCAGTATTTTCAATAGGAAGATACTATATTCGTCAATAAAAACAGGGTTGTACTGTGTATAATACTAAGAAACTGTATTAGCTAAGAACAAGAAGGTTACACTATGTGTTATATAAAGTATATATGCAATACCATATTGCATATCCTATATTTTAATTACATTCTCATCTTCTGTATTAGTCCTACACCTTGAGAAGAACTCTAAAATAAGCGGACTGACAGCTGACACACTCAGAAACTATTCAAATCAATAGATTGCAGATAAATTTACAGAAGAGATCATAATCACTTTCTCTGTTTAAGAGATGCAGAAATGGGAGTTCTACTTCTGAGCAAGAACATAGAATCACAGAATCACCATGGTTGGAAAGGACCTCCAATCTTCCAACCTTCCTCCCAACATTTCCCTAACCCCTAGACCACAGCCTCAAGTGCCACATCTACTCATTTTTTCAACACCTCCAGGGATGATGACTCCACCACCTCCCTGAGCAGCCCATTCCAGTGTCTAACCACTCTCTCAGTAAAGAAATTCTTCCTAATATCTAATTGAAATCTTCCCTGGCGCAACTTGAGGCCATTTCCCCTCATCCTAAGATGTAACACCCACTGAAGTATTTCCCTATATACACAGACATAACTATAATAAGAAATCACCAAGGCATTTTATAGGTGCCTTACTCGCTTTATGCTCCCTGAGGAAAATGTAGGAGCTTTGACTAGCTGAAGCAACAGGAATACTAACTAATTCCTCTCAAGTTCTTGGTGTGCTTTTGGTATTCTATCATGTATGCAACTGTACCTCTCCAAATACGTTCAAAGTACTATAAAGTAAGTATTCAGTGTTTTATTGCTCCTTTTTTTAAACCCAGAGCACACAAGTATTAGTGTAAGTTCTTCCATACTGCTTAAAAGTATTTGAAAAATATAATGAACACTGCAAGAATCATATGTAATACAGGTGTGATATTTGAGCACTGTTTAGGGGAACAGCAAGCAAACAATTGTTGCCATAGTGTTGGGAGGAGGTGGTTTGTAGGGAGTGTTAAGTTTGTTCATTTCAAGTCTCCAACCTGCAGGTGAGATTGTGAACAATTTGTTTCAGCAGATGAGCATACACTCTAAAACTTTAAACATACTGGTGAAGAGGACATCACAAGCCGACCCTATTCTCTAACCTCCTAAAATACACTTCAGATTTTTTCTTGTCATAAGGTTACTTTTATTCAGAAACCTAAGTTTCATGAGTGGCTTTTTTTTTTAGTATTCTTTCATAAAAGTTTAAATTGAACAGGTTTAAATCAAATGCTTCTATGAAAGTTTAATGTGGCACAGTCTTACAGTATACTTAACTGTTCAGCATGAGGAGGCAAGGACTGTGAAACAACAGCCCAGACACAAGCTCAGCAGCTGAACCCTTGTCACTGGAAGAGACAGAGGGAGCTGCGTTTCTCCCCTTGGAGCTCCCAGGAAGGTCTCCCTTTTCCTGCATTCCCCTTAAGGAACAAAATCCCTTCCACCTTGAAAGAAACACCAGTCTCCATGGGCTCTGAGAAACACACGCTGACCATTCAACTCGCCTCGCCAGCCCCACCATGCTTCACCTTCCAAAGCAAACAAAATAATCAAAAATGCAGACTACCAGTACACAAACCAAAAGTCCATATATCTTGTGTGGTTTACCACTCCCTTCTCATTTGATCAAGAAATAGCCTTGCTATAGTGGGACTTTAATATCCATGTTCCCAGTGCCTGATTAGCTATTTTGAATACTTAAAAGCCCTACCATGTGCTCTCACAGTAACACACCAGCACCAAATGCTTTAACAGACTCATATTGTCCTTTGGTTAGTGCTAATTTATTTATCATATAGGCTGCTTTTAGCACTTTCACCCTTTCAGGGAACTTAACATTCCTTGCTACATTTCCCTGTACTCACAGTGGAGCAGTAATCCTAAATGGCTAAGACCATATACAAATACTTTCCCAACCACTTTTCCTACTTCATGCTCTACAGAAAAAAAGAGGAAGATATTTGTATTATTGATGGAAGTAGAAACGTACACATAACAAGAAATCAAGTTCGAAGTCAAGAACAATGCAATCTACAGCAAACAGCAATCATATTAATGATACAGGCAACCCACTGCTAGAAGCCATCTCCACTTCTCCTCCCTGTAAGAAGAACATTCACATTGGACCAGGAAAAGAGGAAATGCTGGTCATGGTAGAAGTCAGAAGTAGGCAGAAATGCAAGCTGACTGTCGATTCAAGATGGATAAGCAGATATATATTTACCTAGGAAAATGCATTAAGAATAAAATACCTAGACAAGAAAAGACAAGTACATAGATGCCAAGCAAACATCACAGGAATGAAGGATTGTCCCCTCTGAAGCTATACCAGCCTTGTTCTGTCCACATCCTACCCTACTCATGATCCAGGTCTGCACAGAAGTTTTTGTGAGGGTCTGTCCAACAAATACTGTGTTTTATATAAGCTTCTCTTTTTCACTGTTGGGAGTCAATCACAGCTCCTTGAAAGGATTCTCCAGCAGAAGCTAAACAGAAGCTGCTCCTTTGAGATGGATACAAAGAGGAAATGAGGTGCTGCAACCATGTGGAGTCAAAAGGAGAACTGACAGATTACAAGTAAAGCTCATCCTGAACCATGCTAAAACGCTTCGGCAGGAACTTACCCAAGAATCCTTGCCTACACTGCAGTATGCCCACATATAATACTAAACGCATTCACTGCTACAACAGCTACCTAAATGCTCCCTACAGTGACCTCTTCCCTCCCCCCCTCCCCCCACTATTTTCCACCTCAGCCACTACAGGGCAGAGATCTCTGTGATAGTACCAAAGGCATTCAGGTATCACACTGCTCACAGGCTTCAGCATAGCTAGGTCACAGAAACTTTCCTAGACAGGTTACGCCTACAAATGGCATTTGAATATCTCAGTGCCTTTCAATTTGATGAGGTTTAACTTCTGGCTTTATTCTTTACACCTGTCTGTCAAAACACAGTTTTAATTAATAGATAACGCCATTTAAAATGTCTAGTCTT